GATACAGTCGGAGCAGAAGCGGTGCAGACACTCCTTGGTGGTCATGGTGTTCTTGAGCATGTCCAGGCAGATGGGACACATCAGCTCCGAGTGTAGCGAGCGCGGGGACACCGCGATCTCCGTCCCGTCCATGATGGCCTCCTGGGGACATTGGGGACATTGGGGACACCCTGAGAGCCCTGGGGACACCCTGAGGGTCCTGGGGACACCCTGACACCTCCTGGGGACACCCTGACAGTCCTGGGGACACCCTGACACCCTTGGGGACATTGGGGACACCCTGACACCTCCTGGGGACATCAGGGACATCACTGGGGACATTGGGGACACCCCGACAGTCCTGGGGACATTGGGGACATCATTGGGGACATTGGGGACACCCTGACACCTCCTGGGGACAATTTGGGGACAATTTTGGGACAATTTTGGGACAATTTTGGGGACACTTTGGGGACAATTTTGGGGGAATTTTGGGGACAATTTGGGGACAATTTGGGGACAATTTTGGGGACACCTTGGGGACAATTTGCAGACGTTTTGGGGACAATTTGGGGACACTTTTGGGACATTTTGGGGACATTTTGGGGACAATTTTGGGGACACCTTGAGGACAATTTGAGGAAATTTTGGGGACAATTTTGGGGACAATTTGGGGACAATTTTGGGACATTTTTGGGGACAATTTGGGGACAATTTTGGGACATTTTTGGGACATTTGGGGACAATTTTGGGACATTTTTGGGGACAATTTGGGGACAATTTTGGGACATTTTTGGGGACAATTTGGGGACAATTTTGGGGCATTTTTGGGACATTTTTGGGGACACTTTTGGGACTTTTTTGGGACAATTTGGGGACAATTTTGGGGACAATTTGAGGAATTTTTGGGGACAATTTTGGGACATTTTTGGGACAATTTGAGGAAATTTGGGGACAATTTTGGGGACACCTTGGGGACAATTTTGGGGCATTTTTTGGGACAATTTGAGGACACTTTGAGGAAATTTTGGGGACATTTTTGGGGCGCCCCTCCCCCACTCTGGGGACTCCTTTTGCTCCCAAATTTTGGGATTTTTCCTCAAATTTTGCCCCAAAATTCCCGGAATTTTTCCCCAAATTTTCTCCTTTTTCCCCCAAATTCTGACCCCAAATTTTGGGATTTTTCCCCCAAATTTTGACCCCAAATTTTGGGATTTTTCCCACAAATTTTGCCCCAAAATTCCCGGATTTTTCCCCAAATTTTCTCCTTTTTCCCCCAAATTCTGACCCCAAATTTTGGGATTTTCCCCCAAATTTTGACCCCAAATTTTGGGATTTTTCCCACAAATTTTGCCCCAAAATTCCCAGATTTTTCCCCAAATTTTCTCCTTTTTCCCCCAAATTTTGCCCCAAATTTTGGGATTTTCCCCCCAAATTTTGCCCCAAAATTCCGGAATTTTTCCCAAAAAAATTCACTTTTTCACCCCAAATTTTGCCCCAAATTTTTGGGATTTTTCCCCCAAATTTTGCCCCAAAATTCCCGGATTTTTCCCCAAATTTTCTCCTTTTTCCCCCAAATTCTGACCCCAAATTTTGGGATTTTTCCCCCAAATTTTGCCCCAAAATTTTGGGATTTTCCCCCCAAATTCTGACCCCAAATTTTGGGATTTTCCCCCCAAATTTTGACCCCAGATTTTGGGATTTTCCCACAAATTTTGCCCCAAAATTCCCGGATTTTTCCCCAAATTTTCTCCCAAATTCAGACCCCAAATTTTGGGATTTTCCCCCCAAATTCTGACCCCAAATTTTGGGATTTTTCCCCAAACTTTAAACCCCAAATCCCGGGATTTTTCCCCAAATTTTCTCTTTTTTCCCCCAAATTTTCCCCCCAAATTTTGGGATTTTCCCCCCAAATTTTGGGATTTTCCCCCCAAATTTTGGGATTTTCCCGCCAACCCACCCCCCCAAACTTCCTCTTTCCCCCCCCCACATTTCTCCCGCCAAATCCCGCCGTTTACCGCTCAATCTCCTCCCCCTCCCCCCTCATTCCCCACCCCAAATTTCGGGAATTTTGGGAATTTCGGGAATTTTTTCCCGGATTTTACCTGCGGCGTTCGGTGCAGCTCGTACAGACTCAGCTCCCAGGTCTTGCTGGCGCTCTGCGCGCTGGCGGGGGCGGCCATCACGCCAAGAATCCCCAAAAGAATTCCCAAAAAAAAAATTCCCGCCGGAATTCCCAAATTTTTTCCCGCCGGGATTCCCAAAAAATTCCCCCCCCCCCCCCCAAAAGCGGCCGCGCGACGCCGCCGCCGCTTCCGGGTGGCGCCGCTTTGATGACGTCAAAGCGCTGCGGGCCAATGGGAAGAGCAGGTGGGCTGGACCAATCACAGCCGATAGTGGGCGTGGTTATGTAAATGAGCGCGGCTCCGACCGCATAGGGGGCGTGGTTATGCAAATGCACGGCCCTGATCGCGCTGGGGGCGTGGTTATGTAAATGAAGGGAGCGTGGTTATTGTTTGATTGGTGCGTGCGGTTGAGGGGCGTGGTCATGACCTTATATGGTAAATGTGGGCGTGGTTTGGGAGCGCGGGCTGAGCTCGGAGCGGGGGAAGCGTTCGGAGCTTCCCAGTTCGTCCCAGTTCGGCCCAGTTCGGCCCAGTTCGTCCCAGGAAGTGCCAGTTCGGCCCAGTTTGTCCCAGTTCGGCCCAGTTCGTCCCAGTCCCTCCCAGTTCCCTCCCAGTCCCTCCCAGTTCCCTCCCAGTCCCTCCCAGTCCCTCCCAGTTCCCTCCCAGTCCATCCCAGTTGCCCCCCGCCCCTCCCAGTTCCCTCCCAGTTCCCTCCCAGTTCCCTCCCAGTTCCCTCCCAGTCCATCCCAGTCCATCCCAGTCCCTCCCAGTTCCAAACTCCCGCGCTCCGGGAATTCTCCTCTTTCCATAGGAAAATAGAAAATTTTTATTGGGAATTTTCAAATCCGGGAATGTCGGGAGGAGCCGAAATTCCCGGGAATTCCTCCCCAAAAAAAAACCCCGGGATCGGGAATTCCCAAATTCCCGGCGGGAAAAACCGGGAATTTGTGGGAAAAATCGGGAATTTCGGGGGAAAATCGGGAATTTGGGGGGGAAATTGGGAAAAAAATCGGGAATTTCCAGGGAAAAATGGGGAATTTCGGGGAAATAAAGGGAAAAAATCGGGAATTTGGGAGGGAAAATGGGAATAAACCGGGAATTTTTTTGGGAAATCCCGGGAATTTGGGGAGAAATGGGGAAAAAAATCGGGAATTTGAGGGGAAATAGGGAAAAATCGGGAATTTGGGAGGGAAAAGCGGGAATTTCGAGGGGAAAACCCGGGAATTTGGGGGGGTTTTTATCCCAGGAAACAGACGGGTCCCAGCTCGATTCCCGAATTTTCGGATTTTTTGGGAATTGCGGCCGGTTCCAGGTGGAAATCCAGGATCGGGAGCAGCTCCGGGCGCGAGGAGCGGAATTCCAGGAGGAGCCGCCCGGAGCCGCCTCGGGGCTGCGGGAAAAATCGGGAATTTTATCCCCAAAATCCATCCGGGAATCCCAAAAATCCCCAAAATCCCCAATTCCCACGCCAAATTCCTGCTTTTTCCCCCCAAATTCCCGCTTTTCCCACCCCAAAATCCCCAAAAATCCCCAATTCCAACCCCAAATTCCCGCTTTTCCCACCCCAAAATCCCCAAAAATTCCCGTTTTCCCACCCCAAATCCCCTTCCTCACCCTCTGAATTCCCAAAATTCCCTTTTCCCACCCCAAATTCCCGGTTTTTTCCCCAAATTTCCAGGTTTTTCTCCCCCAAATTCCCATTTCCCCCCAAAATTCCTACATTTCCCCCCCCAATTCCCGCTTTTCCCCCCAAACTCCCGGGTTTTCCCCCCAAAATTCCCGGTTTATTCCCATTTTCCCAGCCGAATTCCCAATTTTTTTCCCATTTTCCCTCTGAATTCCCCAGTTTTTCCCCATTTCCCTCCCAAATTCCCGATTTTTCCCACCCTAAAATTCCCATTTTCCCCCCATTTCCCACCCCAAGTACCCGATTTCCCCCGAAATTCCCATTTTTCCCCCAAATTCCCATTTTCCCACCCAAAATTCCCATTTTTCCCTCCCAAAATTCCCATTTTTCCCCCAAATTCCCATTTTCCCACCCAAAATTCCCATTTTTTTCTCCTGAAATTCCCAATTTTTCCCCCCAAATTCCCGTATTTCCCCCCGAAATTCCTGCTTTTTCCCCCAAATCCCCATTTCGCCCCCAAATCCCCATTTTTTCTCCAGAAATTCCCATTTTCCCCCAGAAATTCCCATTTTCTCATCCAAAATTCCTGATTTTTTCCCCCCAAATTCCCGGTTTTTTCCCTCACCAAATCCCTATTTTCCCACCCCAAATTCCCGGATTTTCCCCCAAAAAATTCCCGGATTTTCCCCCAAAATTCCCACTTTTCCCCCAAATTCCCATTTTTCCTCCCAAAATTCCCAGATTTCCCCCCGAAATTCCCTTTTTTTTCCCCAAAATTCCCTTTTTCCCCCTCAAATTTCCATTTTTTTCCCCCAGAATTCCCAGTTTTTCCCCAAAAATCCCGGTTTTTTCCCCCCCAAATTCCCAGTTCTTCCCCCAAAATTCCCGGATTTCCCCCCAAGATTCCCATTTCCCCCCCAAATTCCCTTCATTCCCACCCTAAAATTCCCATTTTTCCCCCAAATTCCCATTTTCCCACCCAAAATTCCCGATTTTTCCCCCAAAAATTCCCATTTCCCCCCCAAAATTC